TTAGGATTTCTTACCATCTGTTGTAGAGCAGTATGGCCATTGCAGTGGTAGGGGGTAAGCTGGCCAGGTCCACATCCACATGCTTAGTTCCTGGGGGAACTTTGCTGATACACAGAAGCTCATTCAGTAGCATGTTCAATACAGGAACAGATAAGCTATTTAAACATAAATAAATAAATAGCCTTGAGCTCAGTTTTTTTGATGACATAACAAGTTAAAAGACGAGAAATAGTTCTCATTTAGAAACAATCTTAGATTTCATTAGCTAAAAGAACTCTTACTACAGAGATGTGCTGAACTGGCAATTGGAAGCATTTCAGACCATCTTGCTCTCTCAAAAAGAAAAAAAGAGGACAAAACAATCCTACAGAATCCCCAAATTAGTCCAATATTATCATGCAGTAGGACTGATTAATAAATCGGAATTATACTTGTATTTCAACAAGTAAATATGTTAGTTGACATAAAATTTGTCAAGGATATGAATTCCTGCAAAAACAGAAGAAGCCCCAAGCCCTCACTTAGATAATCCTGTACAGCAACTTTCCAATCTATTGAAAACCTCTCTGCATATAAAATACATGTGTCCATATAATATTTTCATACCTAACCACAGTAGAGTTCACTGCATTGCCTGCCATTGTGTGGCACCTTGCAAAGGTGCTTTGACCATCAGTAATTCAGTCTCACAATACTTTAGTAAGATAAATAAACATGACAGTGATTTTGTCTCGTGGGTTATTAGAGGAAAAAAAGAAAAAGAAATTGGTAGACAAAATAATCAGGGATATTTCATTCCAAATCCTTTTGCTGTTCACAATAGCATACTGGAGAAAATATATATATATATTGTTCCCATAAAAAGAACAGGAACAGAAAAGCATCTAGAAAGAGATAAACCCTAACAGTAATTGGAAGGAACAAAGGTTTTCAAAATATTTAGGAAGTTAGGAAAATTCTGTATAACAGAATAAAGAACATAAAATTTTCCTGCAGCCCTGTGTCTGACAACTGCAATATGGAATGAAAAGGTGGAGGAGAGTAAGTCTTACCCTTTTAGGCTTTTACACTGCTGAAGGGCAGTTCCCCAATATGCCCAGCACTGCCTCAATAAAGAAGTTCCAGACTCTCCTACCTTCTGCTTTCACTGCGCCTAACTCCTTGCAAGGTCATTCAGCAAAGTTTACTGAGCTCAGTGATCTAGTTCATAGCTAGATAGAGGGGCTCTGTGTCAACAGAACTGGAACAGCAGCAAACTCTGGTAAAGGATTAAAAAAGCACGTCAGGATGGGAAAGCCTATGCTGGCTTTACAACAGGAAAAAAAAAACAAACCTAAACCTCATCTTTACCCAGGTTTAGGCACACACATATCACACTGTCTAATTACCAATATTTTTCCTCTTTAACTTATTAACAATGTTGATTTATTCACAGACGTTGCTTTTGTGAGTATTCTGTCAAACTTTTCTACCCTACAGAGAAGATTGAACTTGATTCCAACTGTCAGACCCAGGACAAAAAGTTAGAAAGATACTGTGAGAATAGGGAGTAGAGTGATTTTTGCTTGTTAGAATAAAGAACTCATGGCACTTCTCAGTTTGACAGCTTCAGCATGAAACATACAGCCCATACCTCTTCTCCAGTATATCCAAATCCCACTTCAGGTGAGCAGCCACTTTAAGAGCGAGGAGTTTCAAGATGCGGTTTCTTTTGTTATCGGGTGGCGGCTGGACCTGGTTCTGCTCGTTCACGGACGGTTTGGAAGCTTGTTCCAAGAACTGCACGATCAGCTGCACGGGCGGGGGGTCTGCAGAAAGGACAGCCACTCCTCAGATCTCACCAAAGCCCAGAAATCCATTTCTTATCAAAATGTGTCCATGAACAGGGAACACATCTCCCCAGCTTTTTTACCTAATGCCAGACATTTTCACCCAGCAGACTCTAAACCCAGGCGACAACTTGTTTACGCTGAATTCTGTCAGACTTCTCATATGCCTTCATTTAACCCTTACATTTACTCAACCATAGTAATTCATACTTTATTTTCACCACTTCGTATAAACTAATTTCAAAATTTCAGATTTTACATCTAAGGGAAGTAAGTATTGCCCACTGAAATTATAAGTTATCTGAGGTAAGAAATACATAGTTGTTTATAAATCTTTCCTATATTTATGAGCAACTGCTGGGGTTTTTTGCACATGCTTTGGGAAAAACAACATTTGTAAAGAAGTCTGATGAAAGAAAAAAATTCTTTATCATAGTGACAGCCTGTCCTGCATCTTAGCATGATGCATCTTAGCAGATGCATGCATCTCCTGCGTCATGCTGTTTTGAAGAACTTAAATCAAAATGATTCACCTCTGAATTTTGTGAAACATAACTAATATTAACCAGTATTTTTAATTGGAAAGTAACAGTGGAAGAACGAAGGACACTGATGTAGGCGGGACTTAGATTTTGCAAAAGCAATACTGCCTAGGCTCGTTTCAGGCACTAAAAAAAAATACAATTTCCAATTCCCCTTTACGATCTTCAAAGATTTGCTCATTTTAAATACAGCAAGTTTCTTATAGTATCTTCTATTCATTTTTGATACGTATTTTTATTCATTCCAGTTTTCAAGGAGGTGGAACTCCAGCTCTCCAAGCCGGCAGGCCTCAAGGGGCGGCACTCAGGTGTCAGCTGCGACGCTTCATAAACAGTTTTCAAAGAAACGCTGGCAACTTCGCGCACGCCCTCTCCAAAAAAGGAAAAAAAAAAAGAAAGAAAAGAAAAAGACGTATGCAAAGGAAAATGCTCTGCCTCACAGGAAAAGCGGAGAAATTACAGGCTCGAACGGGAAGTCTGGTGCAGAGAAGCTGCTTCCCCTGGGGCTGCAGCGTTACGG